GGCTTTCCGCCGGAAAGTTTCAAGTTGAACACTCAGAAAGCCGAAAGCCTAGCTTAACTAAACCCTAAACCCTAAACCCTAAACCCTAAACCCCTAAACCCTAAACCCCTGTTCAGCCCGACATCCGAAGCTCAGTGGTTGAGAAGCAGCGTCTCACAGCAGAGGCTCCTGGGTCCAGAATGCCACGGTTTAGGGTTTAGGGTTTAGGGTTCAGGGGTTTAGGGTTTTAGGGTTTAGGGTTTAGGGTTTGGGGTTCAGGGTTTAGGGTTTAGGGGTATAGGGTTTAGGGTCACGATAGTTGAGCATCAGTGGTCGAGGACGGACATGAAAAAAGCCCCGGGGCCCAAAATGCTTGCGTTTACTCATAGACCCCTAGTGGGTCTACCTGCCTAGCTTGCATGCTAGGTAAGTAAAACTGTAGAGAGCACTATAGCTGCACTCACTAGCCAACATGAAGCAGGTTTCAATCAGCATCTCCGGGTAAGCTGAGGTCCAGAATGATCGCAGCTTCCGCGACGATGGCAATATCAACGAGGACATCGAGAGGCCTACTCAAAAAGCATAGCAGCATAGCAATACGCAGCGTGTGGAAGCTGATGTGAACTTGTAAGACCAGGACACATGCACACGAGGCTTTTTCATGCTTGTAGACATACATAGTTCTGTGTACCTGACCGCTTCACTCCATCTGAGTAAACAGTCTACTTTCTCCTGCAAGTACCGAAGGGCTGCTCTTGGTGTTGTTGTGCATTTTCACACGTCCTCTTCCATGCGATGCTCTTCGAGATAGCCTTCTTCTGAGAACTGTCTTTCAGATCCTAAACCCTAAACCCCTAAACCTGGTAATGGCTAGGAAGATCCAGAGAAGATGCAGGTGTATGCGTTTGGGTGGTTAAGGTGTCAGCGAATTTTGGTCATGAATAACCTGCGTGTCCTCTGGCGTGACGGAAGTATGAGGAGCCTTGCCTGCGTGAGCGAGAGTGAGAGTCGAAACCTGGTGTAGACAGCCACATGTGTCGCCAGGCAACGTCAGCAGGAGGCAAGCATGAGGAAGCAGCCACATAGCTGCAATACGCTGCAGTGATCCAGGGTCACAGGGCTTCATCATGCTTCAAGACGTCTGCGGGATAGAATACCGTCACATGCACAATAACACTGGTATAGGCACAAGTACGGCGGTGCGTGCTTGCGACTCTGATTTCGTTCGTTTTCTGGATTCAGATCTCGCGATGAATGCTACTCCTTAGCAGCTGTGTCCAACGTGGAAAACCTTGACTTGAGCGATTGCGCAGGTGGGTGAAGTAATATCGGGACTTACATTTCCTAAATAAATACCAATCTTATTATTTTGGGGCTCCTTGTTTTAAAACTATAATGTATCATTCCCCCCGAGAAACTGCCTAAACCCTAAACCCTAAACCCTAAACCCTAAATTCTGATGATCTTCGCCTGGCATGTCCGAGTTGTGAGAGCGTAAACACTTGAATGAGACTCCCAGTCCCCAAAAGGCAAAGCCAAGCTGCGGACCCTAAACCCTAGGGTTTAGGGTTTAGGACCCTAAACCCTAAACCCCTAAACACTAAAACCCTAAACCCTAAGCCCTAAACCGTGCTCCATAGAAGATACAAGCCCTGAGCACCCTGAAACCCTAAAAACTCCACCAGTAACCTCGCCCAGGCTTGTCCGAGTGTNNCCCGAAACCCTAACCTAGGGCCTAAGGCCCTATGTCTCTTCATAGGGGGAAGCCCAGGCTACGTATGGAAGAGGGAGGAAGGGCAGGCCTGGCTTATTGGCGCTGCATGGCGGTAGCCATTATCATCATGACAAGTCTTACTTAGGGTTTAGGGCTTATAGGGTT